ACGCAAGCTAAAAGAAGCTACTGAATAACTGCTGCGAGACGAAATACTTAAAGTTAACACCGTGGAAAATTTAAATTGGTGAAGGTAAGATAAGTCCTAAAAAACTAGCAGAGATTACAAAGGATTAAATATTATCGAATGAAACTGGTGAAGAAACACCAGAGAACTAAACGTCTAAGACCTCGAGCCGCGATTCTAGCGGCCGGAGAGGTGTGCCTTAGCGTTCAAAGAGGAAATACACTCTAACTTGAATGGCAAGAAGAAACTGTTGTCTCCCCTTGGAAGTACAAAATTATTCGCAATGATAACAGTGGCAGACATAAACATTTTCACGAGTACCACATAGCTTGTAACGCTACAGACACATCAGTTGCCATCCAGATATTACTCCATTAACTACGGCGATACCTTCACGAGACTAAGGTTGACGAATGTTTAAATAATTTAACTAATTCTCTATGAACTTGCTCAAGGGGACCGGAAGGAGGTACTTTTTTACGTGTTCACCAAAGTTCTTTCTCTGGTGTCTTTATCGGTCTAGCAAAAACAATAGCACGCGTCAGATTAAAAAGGCCATTTCGCCAATATACTTTTAAAATTACGCGCAAAATACTTCTGTGCAGTCGGACGTTGGAGACAGTTTCGATGAACAGGTATCTAAAATAAATGTAAACGTAATAGTTCAACTCAATAAAAATAGCAAACTAGTCGTAAGGTTAAAATGTCTTTACAGTCCACCCCCCTCGTTCTGGCAAGACAATGCTGATTACGTTCAAAGAGCAAGGGAAACAGGAAGAGATAATGGGCGGGAAATTCGGGAAAAGATAAGACAGCTAGCATCGATCAGGTGACTGGCGGCCCTTAGGTGTTTCACGAACATGATAAATTTTCCAAGGAATGGATCAATCATTCTCAGTCACAGGATGGAAATGGGCATTTGCATTTGAAGTTGCAGTTCTGGGTCCAGAACAGTTGCAGATAGTGGCAAAGTGGCGAGCAATCAATGACCAGTAACATGAGCAAGAAAAGACAAAAGGATTTGAATGAAGTTACTGGCTACAAGGACCAGCATATCCACAAGCAATAACATAATTGGAATGTAGAGAATACCCGAG